TCCCAGCTGGTAATGAATTCTCAAATAGTCCCTTGAGATAAGTACCCACCTTGTTTTCCTGTGAAGTGCTGCCAATAACAGAAGTGTCTAATGAACTAGGGAAAAAAAACCAACCAAAGTACAAAGAGCTTCAAAAATGAATCCGAACCGAATGAACGACTTTGCTTCCTGCTAAGGTTTCATCATCTTTGCCTGTCCTTTATACCTTATGGGAGGGGCAATCACCTCCAAGCCTTCCTACTGAGTTGCCCTTTTTGTTTTAGCTGATCCTGCCTTCTAGCAGTTCTGCGCACACGCGCTTTGGGAACAGGCTCCCCTTATTCCTTGGCCTCGCTGCTGCCAGACACCGGAGGCTCCAGAGGCAGCACCCCACTCCCAGATGGTCCTGGCCCCATCTCTGCAGGACCCTCATCTGAGTCCTCTCCAGCCTCCCGGAATGGTCCCCGTTCTTCCCCACTGTCTGATTCCACTGCCATCTGCACAGGCTGCCGGCGAACTACAACACCACCATGGTTGTACTCCAAAATTTCCTTTTCCTGATCTCCCACCTCTGTGAAATGCACTGTAACATTTAACCTAGTCAAAAGAGACAGGTGCCAACAAGGGTTAACCAGCTGTGCCAGCATGGAACGGCGACGGACACCAGGGCCTGCTTTAAATAAAAGGAAGTAAATATTTCATCTCAGTCCTCCTCGGCTGCCTGCTCCAGTTGCCTCCACAGCTTGACTAAAGATCTAAAGTGACAGATCTAAAGCGACAACAACATCAGTTTCAATGTACACCAGTCACCCAGGACATGACTTTCTTAACACAAATGCTATTTACATGGAGCGTGTAGCTGGAGTGGGAACTTGGAGTGTGCCTGGCCGAGGCACGGGCCTGACAATGAAAGGTGGCTTGGGGGACAACAACAGAGAGATAAAGGAAGTCAGTGAAAAAAAAAAAACTGATCCTTGGAGGACCCAGCTCTTAAATGTGGCACGGCTGAGGCAGCTTCCAGTCAGGATTGGGTCATTTTCAAGGGGGGGTTGGGGAGAAGAGTCTTTTAATTGCCAATGTAAGCTAAATAGCAAATATGACCAGCTTGTCATATTGTGTGGGTTAGGAGAAAAATCGGTGATAGCAGAGAGGAGATATTGTCAGACAAGGAAGCTAATGGCTCATTTTCTTCACTCATTCCTCCTCTGCTTCTTTCATTTTTATCCTTTTCCTTTCCTTTTCCTTTCCTTTTCTTTTTCCTTCCTTTCCCTTCTTTCCTTTTCTTTCCTTCCATTTCATACTTCCTTTCCTTTCCTTTCCTTTCCCTTTTTCCCTTCCCTTTCCTCTTTCCTTCTTTTCTTCCTTTCCCTCTTCCTTTCCTTCCTTCCCTTCCCTTCCATCTTTCCTTTCCTTTCCCTTCCCTTCCATCATACATGTATGATGGTTGCAGTGTCCCAGGGTCATGTGATCACCTTTTGTGATCTTCTGGTAAGCAAAGTCAATGGGGGAAGCAGACAGATTCACTTAACAACGCTGTTACTCACTTAATAACTTCAGTGGTTCAACAATTTGCTGTGCGCAACCTCCCTTTTTAAACACTGTGTTCCCAGCTGCAGCTAATGAAGGGAATCAGGGCCCTTTCCTCCCCCGTAAGCCACACAACTCACGTTGCTCCCTTCTCCGTCCCTCCCTGCATGCCCTAGGATGAAGAGGGGGTGGGCCTGGGTCTTCCTCTGAATTCCCTCTCCCTTGTTCTACCTCTCCCCCCTGCTCTGCCCAGCTGGACTTTGTCCTTCCCCAGTTTCTTCCTCAGCCAATGGAGCCATACTCCCACTCCCTGTCAGCTCCTTGGCCTCCCCCTCCGAATCAGATTCCAACAGGGGCATAACACAGATCAAATCTAAAGGAGCTACTTATGACTCATTGCAGTCCTGTGGGCCAGTTGCCAAGTGCCGAAAATGAGATCACATTTACAGCCATTGGCAACATCCTTTGATCACGTGACTGTAAATTACAATGCTTTTTGCCCAAAAATAGCCTTTACGTCCAGTTTCTGGCAAAAAAAAGGCTGTGTGGGTACAATGGGTTCACTTAACATCCGCAGCATTTGCTTAACAGCTGCCACAGGAAAGGTTGTATAACTGGATATAGTCACGTGGTGACCTGCTTAATGTCTGGGATGACTTTTGCAACCATAATTTTGGGCTCAGTGATGGTTGTAGGTCAAGAACTATACCTGTATAAAATCACAGTTTGATCACTATTAAATCCAGGATATTTAAATAACTGTGAGCCAATCTGGCTGCCTCTTCATTGTTAAATGAATTTAGTCCCTATTGTGGGGTTAATTTAAATCTAAGTTCTTCATTTTTTTAAACGTATTGTGTTTCTTAGATGCTTTGTTCTTTTCCTTAGGGTTGATTGTAATACAAAGGCAAGTATAAAATCAAAGCAATAATTAAAATAATACATTAAATCACGGTGGAGTGTATTTCTTTAACACGCAATAATGATCTCGCTAAGATGTTAAAATTAGATTAATTCACACTTTTATTCTCGGAATGATAACTGTCTATTAGCAATAGATTTATTGAGGATTAGCAAAGAGAACTGTATCTGTTTCACGATGGTTAATCCTGAATGAAGTTTTTGCAAAATTATTAATTGGCACTTAACTAAGGGATTATATTCACTAGACTGTCACACAATGAGCAATAAAAGGCTTCTGGGATGATTAAGTAAATTAAAAAAAGTTTAACAATCCCAAAGTGGAACAGTAAAAAGATAAATACTATAGATTTAAATGTTCTCTTATCACCTACAATAGAAAAATAAATCTGAGACTACACCCTGCTTTGTTGTATTATGATTTAGCCGTTTCCGTAGAGCTACTTATGGCTCATTCAGAAATGTACATTTATGAGATGGAGGGAGAAGCCCAATTTAATAAGGATAGTATTGTGCAAGAAAACGGCTTTCCAGAAAGGCAGTGACTGTCAGAATGTCCTGTTCATGTAGAGTAGAGACTAATGGACTCTAGCAAGCATGACTAAACATACCATAGAAAGATTTCCATGCTTCATTTGGTGTCATAAATCAAGGTTTGTGGTGTCTTAGGGGCTTTCTGAGCCTAGTGGTGTTCTTGTTAGTTTGATTACTGATGATGTTACTTAGCGTGATAAGGAAATGTCCACAAGAAAACTACCAAGCCCAGAGAGCACCAAGGACCCCACACTTCAAACCTGAGCTAGAAATATTCTGCAGAATAGAGAAAAGAAGAGAAGGGTAGAACAGAATAAGAACAGTAAACAGAGAGCAAACCCCACTCTGTTCCAACATTGATAATGTTACCTAGTTTGGTAATGAAATGTCTGCAAGAAAATCATCAAGCTCAGACAGCGCCAAAGACTCTTGAGCTACAAATATTCTGTAGTGTAGTGTAGTGTAGTGTAGTGTAGAGTAGAGTAGAGTAGAGTAGAGTAGAGTTTACTACTGTATAGTAGAGTACAATAGAATAGAGTACAGTAGAATAGAGTACAGTAGAATAGAGTACAGTAGAGTAGTAAACAGAGAGCAAACTTCACTACCTCCTTGAACTGATAATGTTACCTAGTTGGGTAATGAAATGTCTGCAAGAAAACCACCAAGCTCAGAGAGCATCTAGGACTCTTGAGCTATAAATATTCTGTAGAGTAGAGTAGAATACAATAGAATACAGAAGAATACAGTAAAGTAAAGTAAAATAGAGTACAGTAGAGTAGTAAACAGAGAGCAAACCCCATTCCTTTCTTGCATGGATAATGCTACCTAGTTGGGTAATGAAAAGTCTGCAAGAAAATCACCAAGGTCAGAGAGCACACAGAGCCCTAGAGTTCAACCCTGAGTTACAAATATTATCCTCTATCAAATCAAGGTTTGTAATTGGGGTGTGTTAACGCAAAAAAAAAAAAAAGTCCAACATTCTACATTAGGCAAACAGCTAATGTAGCTAAACCATGGTCAAAAAATCATTTCTTACATTTGGATCCATTTCCCATCACATCCCATCTAGCTGAAGTCAACAAGAAGGCTGGGAATTTCAAGATTGGACAAACTCACCATTTGGGCTATTTCGTTTAAAAAAAAATATTGGGGATGATTGACAAATGCTATTTAGAGCTGTTGTGGAGGTCTTGCAATTTGATGGGCCATCTTTCTCTTTCTTTCTTTTCTTTCTTTTCTTTCTTTCTTTCTTTCTTTCTTTCTTTCTTTCTTTCTTTCTTTCTTTCTTTCTTTCTTTCTTTCTTTCTTTCTTTCTTTCTTTCTTTCTTTCTTTCTCTCTTTCTTTTCCCACTTTTTTGTTTTTTTGTTTATAAATAATTCAAGGTGGCAAACATCTCCAATGCACTTTCCTCCTCCTATTTTCCCCACAACAACCCTGTGAGGTGGATTGGGCTGATTGAGAGTGACTGGGCCAAAATCACCCAGCTGGCTTTCAGGGCTAAGGTGAGACTAGAACTCCCAGTCTCCTAGTGTCTAGGCTGGCACCTTAACTACTACACAAATATCTAAAAACAAAAGCAGGATAAGGATGAAGGAAGGACATTTAATTGCTCTCATTCCATTTGGTTCTTGCTGTTTTTACCTTAAAAACACTTTCGTTGTTTTTACTTATAATTCCGTTCCACTTTCCCCCTAATCTGTTTTCTCTTCCCTTCTTGAATTGCATATTTAAATACGTAATTATGCATATTTTCTTTCAAAATACTCCTTTCAAATAAGAGCTACTGCAAAATGCTTTCTTCCCAATTCACAGTTCTGTGATAAAGTTTCCAGTCTAGCTTTGCTGTATTAGCAAGCTCTGTTGTCTCCCCACCACCAGAAATGATTCTCTGCAAAACATTATCCCCCATTTGTGCACTTTCGCCTACATACATATATTCTGAAAGACAATACATCCCAAGACACCTATTTTAATATGTAGTCCATCTTATTTTGTCTTGTCTTTTTTTTAAAAAAAAAATCTACAGATTAATGGAGAACTGGGACGAAACAGAGCTGGGGGTTACTGCCTGCGAAAGTGACCTGGATCAGAAATAATCCATCTGTCAATCTCTTGCTGAGGAAACAATCTCTCTCGTTATTGGTGACAGGTAAGTTTGGGGACAAATGGGTGGATGGAATGGAGCTGTTTTGGTTTGCGTTCTTAATGACGTCATCTACCGAAAGGAGAGTTAACCTGATGCTTTCTGCCTGGTTTGGTTTCTGATTTGTAATAAAGGTAGTGCTCGACTTATAACCACAACTGGGACTAGAATTTCCATTTGTTGGGAGAAATATCCATCTGGTTCAGTTCCAAGCAGTGAGAAAGACACTGGAAACATGGAGGCTGATTGGAAAGATGGTTTATTGATGGACAGAAACACATGGGTTTGAGCTCCTGGGTAGCTGTACACGTGGAATTGAGAGAGGCGGGTATTTATACCCTCTCTTGGGCTTTGAACTTGAGCTTCCTGTTACTGTGCAAGAATATATATTCTATTGGCTGCTGTCAGATTCCCATGGGGCTATGCAGGGGTCATAGCTGAAGTTGTCTGAGCTCCTTTGGTTGAAGCTTGCTGGATGATGCAATGTCCTTAGATTATGCCATGGGATGAACTCTGCTGCTAGATGGGATAACCCTATTATGTCCTGGAGGGTCATGTCTTAATCCCATCACCCTGGAACTGAAGGTTTTTTGTCTTGTAGATAGGCTGGCCTAGCCTTTCTTAATGGGTACCAAATATCTGCTGGAGGCAGGGGTCTTTAAAACATGTTTCTTCTTTTATCATCCAGGGAAATATAATATTCTGCCTTTTTTAATATTTCACTCTTCTAGGAGTGGGTGTGTGTGTGTGTAAATCTACACATGATTTACTCAAAGTGGCTGTTAAATGAGTTGCACTCAATTTTATGACTTTTTTGTTAAGCAAATCTCCGCAATTGCCAAGTAAATCTTGTGGTTGCTAAATGAATACAATTGGGAAAGTTGCAAATGACAATCATATGATCTGCAACTGTCCTAAAATATGTGTTGGTTGCCAGGTGCCCCAATTTCGATCACATGATTGTGGGGATGCTATTCAGGAAGTATGAGAACCGATCCTAAGTCACTTTTTTCAGTGTCCTTGTGAATTCAAACAGTCACTAAAGAAATGGTTGTAAGTTGAGGACTACCTGTACCATTATGGACGGATGATAGGACCGATGGTCTGAAGCACACGGAGGTTGCTTATCCTGATTTTTAAAGAGACCAAGGAATGAATTCACGATAATCTAAATTGTGTCTAGATTGCAACCTCCAGGAAAAACTTGTTTTGAATTCTCTTCAGCTGAGGTCGCCCGTTACTAGAAAAAGAAAAGGTACCATTTTACCATGTTCTGGATATGATTCATTAAATTGCCACAGACTGAATAAATGCCTGCTCCATTCTGTGGAGAGCTTGGAATGCATTACTGAATTAGTTTCTTTTCACAAAGAATCAGGAATTGTGGTTTTTCTGAATTCTCGAGCCTGAAATAGTTATAGAAAAGAGAGGTCAGTCGGAATTTTTCTCTGCTGTGATGTTTTGTTATCATCGTTTTATTGTGGTTTTGTACCGTAGGCTTTTCGTTTACTGGTATAGCGTTCACTGAATTTAAATTATTAGGTGGCCTGAAAGCATAAATGAATAAGTTAGCAAAATTAATGAACTACCTAACGGTGTGTTGGAGTGTTCTGAAAACTTTTATTTTGCTGACTTTGTAGAGGAATACTGTATAAACTTGTTGTGAGTTCAAAACTTAACTCTTAGGGGAAAAGCCTATAAAAGTTGTTTTAGTATTTGGATGTTGATGTAGCTTTGTCTTTTTAAAGGGTTGGTACGGGTTTTTGTTGTTGTCGAATGTTGAATGCATAGGAAGATCATGTTAAAACCCTATTCTTTGTCAATTAAATCAACTTTTTATGTAAGAAATGAAGGTATCTATCCTTTGCGATCTTAAAACTTTCCAATCTTTTTATTTGCTTGAATTCAGTCATTGTATTGATTTTAATTTCCTTTGTAGTTTCCTTCTAAATCTGAAACACGAGTGGAGAGTTACATAAAGGAATGGTCGTATTGTTAGTGAAAAAAGATTTTAAACATTTTTTCAGTGATGTTCAAAGAGGCTAAAAGTACAAATGTCATCGGGGTGAGATCTGTCTTTGGCATTTTCTCACATGAGAGAAAGATCTGGAGAAATATTTTAAAAATTGTAAAATTGTATTTTTTTGGTCTAAATTAAATTGCCTATGTACCTCTATGAACTAACCAGTAAAAGGATAATTTTTTTGCATTTCCATGTGGCCATCTAGTAGTTACCTGGATTTTTGCAACCCAGCTCTGGTTATGCTTACATCAGATTCTGTGATGTAGTTACGTATGTCTATGAAAAAGAGAAAGAAAGCATAAGGGGTTGAAAACTGGATGAAATTTGAGTAATGTCTCAGGCCAAAATAAGAAACAAGCCAAAAACCTGAGCATATTTGTGATTGCATTTCATAAATTCTACAGTTCTGTATACATACCACATCTAATTGTGAGGGCTTTGTATAAATACCGGTAGTCCTTGACTTCTGACCATAATTGAGTCCAAAAATTATGTTGCTCAGTGAAACATTTCTTAAGTGAGTTTTGCCCCATTTTATGGCTTTCTTTGCCACAGTTCTTAAGTGAATCAGTGTAGTTGTTAAATTAATAACCCGGTGGTTAAGTGAAACTAGCTTCCTCATTAACTTGGCTTGTCAGAAGGCAGCCAAAGATGTGAACATGATTTGGCAACATAAATATGAACGAGTTGCCAAGCGTCCAAATCTTGGTCATGAATCTATGAAGTTGTTGCAATAGTCATAAGTGTGAAAAATAGTCATAAGTCACTTATGGGTGAAACCAGGCTGAATAGCAGTAACTGTGAGAGGGATCTTGGAGTCTTAGTGGACAACCAGCTAAATATGAGCCAGCAGTGTGCATCAACAGCCAAAAAAACCCAATGCAATCCTAAGCTGCATTAATAGAGGGATACAATCAAGGTCAAGGGAGGTACTAATACCACTCTATACATAAGAAAAGTGACTCCCACCCATCCTGGTGATGGGACAGCATAACTTCACCACCTTCCCTATAGCTATGAGATTCAAATTTCTCAACACATTGTCCATCTCTGAAGAGGAGAAGTGATAGTAGTAACATAAGTAGTAGTAACACTACTAAGAAAAAAGATTGGGTTTTAGCTAATCAAGAGTGTGAAGCAGTGTGTAGCAGCAGCCAAAAAAGCTAATGCAATCCTAAATTGCATTAACGGAGGGATACAATCAAGATCAAGTGAGGTACTAATACCACTCTATAAAGTCTTAATAAGACCACACCTAGAGTACGGCATCCAGTTTTGTTCACCACATTATAAAAAAGATGTTGAGACTCTAGAAAAAGTACAGAGAAGAGCAACCAGGATGATTAGGGGACTGGAGGCTAAATCATATGAAGAACAGTTACAGGAACTGGGCATGGCTAGTCTAGTGAAGAGAAGGACCTGGGGAGACATGAGAGCAGTCTTCCAATATCTCAGGGGCTGCCACAGAGAGAAAGGGGGTCAAGCTATTTTCTAAAGCACCCAAAGGCCAGACAAGGAATAATGGATGGAAACTGAACAAGGAGAGATTCAGCCTGGAAATAAGGATAAACTTTCTGACAGTGAGAACAATCAACCAATGGAACAGCTTGTCTTTGGAAGTTATGGGAGCTTCATCACTTGAGACTTTCAAGAAAAGATTGGACTGCCATTTGTCAGAAATGGTGTAGGGTCTCCCGCTTGGGCGGGGGGTTGGACTAGATGACCTACAAGGTCCCTTCCAACTCTGATTATCTGTTACCTGTTACTTTTTTTCAGTGATGTTGTAACTTTGAACAGTCACTAAATGAACTGTTGTAAGTCAAGGACTGCCTGTATTTGTTTGATTTGTATTTTGCCTTCCCTTTAGGAATTTAAGAAGGCACACACAACACATTTTTCTCCATTTTCCCCCACAGTCCTCTGGGTGCTATACTCTGAGAGACTGTGTCTGTAAGTAACACTGAATTTAAGACTCTCTTGTTCCAGTTCAACACCTAATCCTCTACACCAGACTGACCCTTAGCTCTGTGGCTGATACACGGTCACCTAAATGTAAGACTTAGTGTCCATATTCTGTAAAGCCCTGATTATTTTAACCCCAGTTTATTGATTAAATGACGGTTGGCTGGATTTGTTCTTCATGGCAAGCTGTAACCCATGCATTACAGTGGCCGGAATCAGGCAAAAGGCTAAACTGAAATTGAAAAATAAAGTAGATTATGTTTAAGGCAACATGCCAACCCGTCATAAGAATCTGACAAATGCCACAAGGGCACTATATATATATATATGTCGTGACTTGGCTAATGTCATTGATGACATTTATGTCATTTGCACAATGACATCATAGCACTCATTCACCTGAGGACGCCCGTGAAACTTTGCTTTATTGTGTCTATGACACAACTTACCCTATCCGAAGTATCACAGCTTTGGAAGTTTGAAGGTTTACATTCAAAACACCAGGAAAAAAAAATGTTGATCTGTATACCACGTTCCCCCTGGTCCAAAATAAGCGCTAGGGCTTATTTTCGGGGGGGGTCTTATTTCCCCCCCCCCCCCCCCCATGTATAGGAGGCCCACTTCTTCTGCTTGCTTGCAGCCACAACAGAGCAGACATGCCGAGCGATGGTGTGACGGAGTGGGTGGCCAGCCGCAGGAGGCTCATCCCACCTCTACTGTGGCCCGTGCAGTGTGTCAGGCTTGCCTGCCTTCTCCCTCACACCTCTGCCTCTGTCTGCTACCGGTGCTGTCACACAAAAATGAGCATCTCGTGGCTGATGGACCACTCTGGCCCACCGACTCTCGGCTTTCTCATGTCCCCCCACATGGTGCGTCTGGCTTGCGTGTCTCCCACCTCTAATGCTCGGAGAGGCAATCCACTCACCTGCGCTGCACAGGCTGCAACTGCTGCCACACACTGTCGGGCCCCGTGCTCTTGGCACCTCCAGTGCTGGCCATGCCCCCCACCCCCACTGATGAC